ACTAACTCCCCCACCGTCCCAACAGGAGGGAATTCGTGAACTAGAAATGGCTCCGGAATCCGGCATTGAAGAAGATGACGCTTCATCTGAAGAATCGATTCCCAGCTAAGAAACGAGATTCCGAATATTCTGGGTTTCACCGAAAATTCCCTGCTAAGAAGACGCCGAAAATTCCCAGCTAAGAAGACACCGAAGACGTAGATTCCCAGCTAAGAAGATGCTGAAAATTCTAGGTTTCACCCTCCCCCCTTCTTGACCCATATGAGGGTATTCTCCTCCGTCGCCGTCGCTGGCAGTGGTGGAAGACCCAAACGCCCCCCAGGAAATGGGCGTCACTTGCGAGAGAGAAAATCCACACGTGGATTTCCTTCTTCGAGGGAAAATTGATTCCCAGCTGAAACGAGAGAAAATGTTTTACTCAATTTGGTGGAAAATAGGTCACGTGAGGGTTAAATGAGAAAATGTTTTGACTGAAAAATTTAACTTATCAAACATGTCAAAAAGTGGGAAATTGAACTTATTTTCTATCTTTCAAGGAAAAAACTGCCTATCAAACAGGGCCTAAGAGAAAAAACGTCCAATATGCAAACTTGTGAGTAAATGAGAACTATGCAAAACAATAAAAACCACCAGAATGTCTGGTTCTTGTAAATATTCGTTCAATGCTTTTTAAAACTTAAGTGAGCGTGTTTCTCTCGTGCTCCAATTTTGAGTAGACTTCTTAGATCCGATGATGGTGGTAGTTGTGGCGGTGTGGGGGGGGTGAAAGGAGATGCATTTTTATAAGCTGAACTTGAGTCACGAGGCAGGCTGGCTCGGGCTTTTTTCGGGTCGAGCCCGAGTAGCCGAACCTTTTTGACATCGCTATGTATCATCTATTGCAACTTAAAGCCTTTTTGTGCCCTATTTATTGAAGAATGCATTTTCGAATAGTAGATTGATGAAAAATGTATGATTAAAAAATAAGTAAAAATGTATTTTAAGGAAAATGTGTGATTGAAAAAAAAAAGATTGAAAATGTATTTTTTTAAAAAATGTATTTTGAAAATAATAATGATTTAATAAATATATAAAGAATGTAAAATAAGTCAACTATAGAGTCAACATAGTATAATAGTTGGAAAATACTTCTTGTACATAACTGTTTACGTAATATTTTACGTATGATGAGATGTCAAATGTAAGTGAAAAAGTTATTTGATTGATAAAATGTTGATCCAATTAAATCTCATCACATCATCTGTTGATAAATCATTATAGAAGTTATGTATATGTAGCACAACGAATAATAAATAGACCGCTTGCTATCAAATTTTAATTTTAAGGGAAACTATTAAAATGCATGTATGGAAAACACTGTATTTTTATTTATTTTTTATATAATTGGTGGTTAAAGTTTAATATTAATTTTAATTACATATTTTATAGGACACACTACTATTATTATATCAATCACTCATTTCTAGCACTATAATTTCAACAACTTATAATTTTATCCAAATAAAATAACAAACATTAAAAGAAGAACTTAAAGTTATGTGCAAGAGAACAAGTTTAGGGACATGATATCATTTCAATGAAATATTAAATGGTATATTCTAAAGCCAAGTGGTCAACTATGTAAATTACGATGGTGACATATGCAACATTAGAATTTCGATTTAATTTCAACTTTGATGTCATCGATGTTTTACATTTTGGGAAGTCGAGGGACTACGAATGTGAAAAGGTATATGGGCTTGGGCCTATGAAGTCGAGGGACTATGAATGTGAAAAGGGTATATTTACATGGACTATGAATGCCATCGATGTAGGGACTATGTCATCGATGTTTTATATTCTAAAATTAACTTTTTCGTTGTAAATATACGTTCGTTACTTTTTAGAATGAATCAAGGGGAAATTAGGCCAGTTACTGTAAAAAGGAACAAGTTAGATTAATACACTTCCAATCAAATTAAAACCTTTCATAACAGTAAATAATACGTCCCCAACCCCAAAATCGCCCAAAACCCCAAACCAGATTACAAAGAGAAATCCCCAAATCAACCTAAAACCACGATTTCGTCATTCTTGATAGGTGGGAGAACCAAATCTGGTGCTGGGTTGGTGACGCTATAGGTGGTGGGGGTATTGTGGGTGCCTTTATTGTTAGGACTGGTGTTGGTGGTGGCTGTTGGACAGGTGCAGGGGATGCTTGTAGTTGAGGTATAACCAGTGGAAGTGCTGGCAGTGAAACCACAGGTGGTGGAGGTACAGCTGGTGGAAGTGCTAGCAGTAAAACTAGATTCCCAATCGGGATACCATTTTCAGCTCAAGAAGTTGACTGTTCATCTGGGTGTTAAAATTTGGAGTATTTTGACATTATTCTCTTTGTTTTGACATAAAGGATTCTGCTTTTATGTAGAAGAAGATGCACTTTTACTTTTACAATACTAGTGGCAGTAAAGGCCAAAAAGCTAGACGACTTATTATTTTCTGCTTCAACATTATCTCTATGTAATGTTTAGAAAAGATCAGCAAGTACAACTCCA